CTAAAAAAATTTCAGTGCAGGTCTGATTTTTTTTTTGTGGCTCTTTTTTTTTTTTTCTAAAAGTATGAATTGGAAATAAAGAATGCTGAAATTAATATATGTGGAACAATTAAAGTATATCTAAAGCACAATTTTTATTTCCATTTTGAACAGAGTAGGGAATGGTTAAACTCCATGTCAGTTTTTTTTTTTATTCCTATCCCATAGACACAACAGGCAGTTAGATAAATCCTCAATGCAACCTGGGTACCTATAGTAGGTCAGCACTAAAGATCACCAGCTACCACTAAAGCATTATTTGGGCCAACAGTATATGGCGTCTGATATGATCACCACTAGATGGTACAGATGGCTGCAGCAGCAGACGTTTTACTCAGCATGTATGCACTTCAGGTGCAGCGTGCAGACTCCAAGGTCCCATGAGCTCCAGCCCAGAAAGTCAGATAATTACTAGATAGATACAAGGAGATTGTGTAGAACAGTCAGTGTAAAGAATGCTGAGAATGAAAGTTACACAAAAGCCAATAGACTTTCATTCCAAGGTTTCTTGTAAGTAAGGCATAGTCCACTTAGTTCGGTATCCCACAGTGACACAGTTGCCATCGCTACTCAAGATTATATGACATTGGGTTCACTGGTATTACATTTTAACTCTTTCTATTCCAGATTACGGTATTCGAAAATGAATTAGAGATACATAAACATAGTTCTGGCAAAAATGATTATTCCTAGTAAAATCACCAGTCAGTATAAATTATAATAAAAAGTGACCATTAAAAATTTAAATTAAAATGATGTTTTTAATGTTTAGATGAGATTTCTTGCTTGAAGTGTAGTTCCTGTGTCTGTATATATGTGGGTTGGTAATGCATAGATTCCATGTGATTTGAATCTAAAAGCTCACAGTATTGTCTGGATGATGCAAACAAGATTTTTTTTCTTCTCGGACAGTTACCATTTTTTTAACTAATACACAATTCTTAGATTTATTTTATTTTTTTTGTAGATTTGTTACATACATTTTAGTTCAGGTATCCAGGCAGCATAATAAAGTTGGATACCACATTGCATACAATTGGCAAATTTAATGTGTGCATTTAAGCAACGAATAAAAAGATTTACTAAAGGAGTTAAAAAGATTTACACAATAAATTGGGTGAATATCCAGTCATGCACAGATTAAATAAGATAGATGAATGGATAAATAACATATGATTGGTGCCGTCTGACTTAAGGGGGAATATGAAACAAACCAAACATTCACATGAATCATGGTGCAAGGATGAACAAGTCTTAGAGCACAAAGAGATGTTGTAGGACAGAAATGTACTTATCCTTTTTGCAACTGATCTGACTGTAAAATCCTATTTCTTACAATATTTGGTATCGTATACACAATGTTATATGGGATTAGCAAGCACAGTTCACATATTGAAGCCAAACTGTTACAATATGTACTTTATTCTGATTTTTGCTGCAGAAACTGACCTTTGAAATTTTATGTGCTATGTTGCTTGTATTGCTTTATTGAATAAGGTAGGTTAATGCTTGTAAGAATTGAGTTTAAGTTTGCCTTTTCACGTACTGATACCTTCAAGCAGATGCTTAAGGCCTCTTGCACACAGTGTTTAATCTGCGGCTGGAGATTCCCGTGGCAAGAATCTACATATTCTTGTAGCAGGAATTCCAGGTGTGTCCGCACAGATGAGGCCGCTGTGCCCATTCAAGTTAATGACAGGGTGACAGCGGCCACATCTGTCCATGACAGTCTGCATATAATCGTATATGGTACGATTATCTGCAGTTTAAGAGAGACGTTTATCCCTGGACGCAGAGAGCTTGCGTCCCAGTACAAACATCTCTTGCGATCTGCAGGTAATTATACCATATACGATTATATGCAGACAGTCACAGACCAATGCGGCTACTGTCATCTTGTCATTAACTTGGAAGGGCACAGCGGCCACATCTGTTGATTCTTACCGCAGGACTCTCCAGCCGTAGATGAAAGAATGTGTGCATGAGGCCTTATGGAGATGTACAGAGCTATGTCATTTGGTAACATAAACTACAGAAGTAAAATGATTAAAACAAGAGATTATGGTTAATATAATAAACACAGGAATGATAGTGCCTAATTATTAATAAAGAAAAATATGTTATCTTTCAGAAAATTTGGTAACATAAACTACAGAAGTAAAATGATTAAAACATGGCTGTCTGTCCAGAGATTATGGTTAATATAATAAACACAGGAATGATAGTGCCTAATTATTAATAAAGAAAAATATGTTATCTTTCAGAGAGAGAAGAAAGGTGGGCTGCTGAAGCTGCTGGCTGGAGCCTCTGCAAAAAAGAAGTCCCGTTCTCCCCCATCTATTTCACCAACACATGACCCTCAAGCTATTGTTGAAGGTGTAATACAAGGAGCAGTAGGACTTGAGTTTTCCATGTCCAGCCATGGCAGAGCAGGGTCATGTCCTATTGAAAGTGAAATGCAAGGAGCAATGGGAATGCATCCACTACACAGGAAAACTGGTTCTTTAGATCTCAATTTTTCCATTTCTTCTCCAGTAAGGCAACCAGCTTGTGCAATGTTAGCTGTGCGACCAGAACCGAAATTATCCAGAGAGAGGTAAGGTTTACGCTGAAACCACAAATGTGACTGTGAAATAATTTACTCACTTCATGTCCAGACTATGTGTATGGCAGGAGTCCTGCTTTTAAAATTGCATTGTATCATTACCATTACCAGTATTTATTAGTGCTGTTTATTAGAAAATGAATATTTAAGCATCTGAACAAAGAATACACATTCATTACCCTCTTTAATAGATAAAACCAGATACAGAGACAGCTTTTATTTGTGACCACTTTGACTGTTTTTTACAGAATAACGTGACTTGCAGCTAAACCTTTTGCCTTCTGATCATTAGTATTAATACTTAGATCATAATAGCTTGCTTATTAGCCCTACAAATGGCCAGAATGGAGTAATAGGATTCGGCCTCTATAGACTTCAATAAGGTTTACTGCAAGATTTGCAAATGTCAGCAAGATATGAAAAGCTATGCGCGAACTAGGCACAAGCAGATTTGTTCATCCCTACTTCTGATATAAGCTACCTAATCACCTGCAAGTCAATGGGGTTGATTTACTAACCTTATAAACACACCACGAACATGTATACACCTCTGTAGTGTGTTCCCTCCCAGCATGATCTATGGGTGGAATCTAAACACCTTTGTAGTGTGTACACACCCAGCAGGTGTGTTGTGTAAAGCCAAGCATGAATTGCAAGGTGATGTTGTGTAAATTAGCTCTATGTTGTGTTGCTTGCGTTGATGAATGCAGGAATGTAAATGCATGAGCTAACCATTTTTGTCTAAAGTGTGAAGCAGCATTATATATGCATCATGTGCATGATTTTTCCATATATGGCATTAGTGGAAATATGCTTTTAGAGACTTTTTGGTTGATAAATACGTTTTGCTGTGTAAAAATCACACGCACCTAGTGCGTGCGTGTGTTTAGGTTAGTAAATCACCCCCAATGTATTTGAATGTTAAAACAACACCCTTCCCTCTCTCCTTATTAACTAAGTAAAATTAGAAATAATATATTCAGCCATGCTATGGTTAGTAGCTGCATGAATTATATAAAATAACAGCAAAATCCAAGTTACACTGCAACACTGCATTGATCTCCTTTGTGTTTAAATGCAGCCACTGTTTCTAGTGGTACCAGTAAGGGTCTCTGAATGTTGTAAGAAGCTGGCAAGCAACTATACCTGCTAACATCCTTCTTAAACTGGTTTATTAACTTTATTATACTTTAAGGTAGCTGGTCAAAACTATTTTAAAATATTTAAAAGACAAGTACTTTTCACCTCTTATAGAAAATAATGAAATGTATACTAGAGGCTTTACAAAGAAAATAAATATTTAGTTTATTGCACATATTTAACGCCTAGAAAATCAGTTTGACCTTAAAGGAGAACTATGGGGTCAGTGTTTTTCCCCATAGTTCTCCTTAGGGTAACGGGAGGACACAAACTAGCGTCCTCCCGTTACCCTAAGCTCAGTATACCGCGAGCTACAGCTCGCGGTATACTGAGACGCCGCACCTGCATGAGTGACAGCTGGCTCTGCCTACCTAGAGGCAGATCCAGCTGTGCCCGCCCCCTCCCCTGTCCGTACCGCTAGTCAGCGCTGGCAGATCGGAGCGGGGAGAGGGGAATCCAGCCCCTCCCCCTGTCATGGCAGAGAACCGTGACAGGATCGAGAGGGGAGGGAACCCGGTATGTGTTCCCTCACCTCCCGATCTACTGAGCCGACCTGTGACAGTCTCATTGTCACAGGTAGGCTTAGAACTATGAGGTGAGTGGAAATCACTCATCTCATGGTTCTCCTTTAAATAGTTCTTGGCTTACTTAAAGACTGCACGGTAGAAAATTGAATTTTTTTCCTGCACACAGCAAAGAACCATTTTCTTTTTGCTTTATGGAAATATAAAAAAAAGTGTATTTGGGAAAAATGATTTCACAAGTAATGTGTAAAACCTCTTTGTGAGTTAAAATTAGTACCCTAAGTTAAAATGTGATTTAGTCCTTTGAGCGTCTGGCCATTGATGTGATTTTATGCTGTCAATGTAGAATGATTACTCTTTTCATTCACTTGGAAAGATAGTGCCAGGCCCTAAAATCATCTCGGCTGATTCACATTTACTGCTGTCCTCATATGTATTCATGGCACGTTCACAGTTTCTGGCTAAACTAATAAACCCATCTACCGCACACAATGATTTTCTTAAACTAATTTTACTTTTTATCGCCACAAGCTGACATCTGGAGAGCAGGGGCTTCTGGAGGTGGCAGAGAGTGTGACTGGAGTCCTGGCTTTATTAGAAATAGAAATACTTTTTAATTAACATATCTTCATAACCACATGCAACATGGACAAGAAATTAAATGAACTAAAATTAGTCATTTTGGCATGTTTGTTGTGTAATCGTTAAAGGGTCAGTTTACCCAAATGTGGTACATTAGTTTTAAACCTGGTATACCAAGTCAGCCCTTGTATACCAAGTCAGCCCTTGTATCCAGATACAAGGGCTGACTATATAATATGTCCTAGATACTCCATATTAATGATACATTGGGCCGATCAGGTACCACATCCATGTATCTAAAAAAAACCTTAACCTCCCTGGCGGTATTCCTGAGTCTGGCTCGGGATTAATTTTCAATACGAGGAGCGGTAACCCCGAGCCAGACTCGGGAATGCACAAAGTGACACTTACCTTGTCCCTGACCTGCTTTGGGATGCTAAAATCCTATATAATCATACAGCCAGGGAGGTTAAAGCAATTGTTTGAGCAAGACAGAAAAAAGGTACCAGACATACATAAAACTAGACATTTAAAAAGGTCAATAAAATTTAACATACAGTTCATAATGAAAAATGTATTTGACCTAAGCTTTTCTTTATACCATTGCCTTACACAATATATGCATCAATTAATTAATACTTCCATATGACCTTTGTTAATATAATATACATTACAATAATCAACCATGTTTTTCAGACAGCTTGATCAGCTTCTTCAAGAGAGAATGAGAGAATGGCTGTATCTACTGAAAATATGTTCAAAACATGTACACAGACTTGAGACTGCCAAAAAAAACTCCTGTCAGCAGACAAAGGGGCAATCAAGGACAAGCTAGCTGGTGATTCTCCAATGCAGGGCCATTAACATATATACCCCAAACCGATGCACCAATGCACTCAATGCTGTAATCACAAGAGTCAGTTTGTCAGTGCAAACATGTGACCCTTTTTAAGCCAGGGTGATCCCCATAGGGTAAGTGGATGAAAACGGTCAACTTCTCAATACACGGGTTCAGACATTCTCATGTATAGAGCTGCAAAAATCATCAGTGGAGCTGGTTTATGCTTCTCTCCCTGCTGTTTTCTTTTCCCATGTGAGGTGGACCAGTGGCTATACTGAGTCCACTGGGTAATGTGTCTGAAAGCACCTGTAGAATCCCTTAACTGAATGAATGGTCACAGATTGCATCTGCTGCATGCACTGTTTCGGCTGTGGAGACTTTTCAGTCTCTGTTAACTCTATCTTGTAGAAGCTATATCTTTGATTTCTGCAGCCCTATACATGACAATGTCGGAACCAAGCTGTGTATTGAGAAGTTGATCTTTTTCATCCACTTTTTTTTAGCAGTCTCAAGTTTATATATATTTATTGAACATATTTTCAGTAGATATTCATTCCCTTTATACCATGCACTGAATGTTTGATTAATGTGACATATATCATATTGACAATGGTCATATTGAATTATTAAATATTGATGTCTAAATTGTTTAAAGCAATGGTGCAGGGAAAAGCTTAGGAATGAGGATCACATACATTTTCCATTATGCATTGTACTGCAAAATTTAATTACTTCCTTTTTAAATGTTTAAATCTAGATTCTCCATTAAAAACCCAAAAGGGAGAATGGTACCCCCTCAAAATGGTCGTAGGAGGTATGCAGACCCAGGGGCTCACAAGATCTTACCAGTAGAGCTATATCAGAGACTCAGGTAATAATGCTTTCCAGCAAGTGGAAAAATGTAAATTTGGGTGGACCAACCTGCTCATGGAATCTTTTGATTAAATGATAAAGGTGCCATGTACTACAGGTCGCAGCATTTTATGTTATTGCTCATTGTATCTGAAACCGTATCTCAGTGTTTGTTTTTATGTTGATGGGCAGGTAGATACATTTGTACATTTTATGCAGTTAAAGAACTTTCAGTCCTAATACCATCTTGGTGGGTGTGAGTTGGCAAGAGTTCAATTACTCTTATTTGAATACATAACGCAATATGGCATTGGTATTGGATTAAATGCAATTATTTGTTGGTGATCTTTTATTATTTTTTTAATGTATTTTCTTATTGACACTATGTTAACAATGCTGACAACCAATTCCTTATTTAATCATGCTTGCTGATTACATATATGTTTCATACGTGCAAAAAAAAAATGTGTTAAAAAAGAAAGAACTTTCAGTCCTAAGGGCAAAATAGGAATTTAGAGGAAAACGTGATCTTCTCACCCTAATTGGTGTGCCTATCGGAAGATTCCACCTCTCCTCCTGTTCAGGAAAGTAAATGTTTGGATTTTCCATCATTTTATGTCCCAGAGCAAATGTCAAATAGCATGTAAATTTTCCCAGCAGAGACACTGACAGAGATAAAAGCTTGACACGGGTTTTAACACTTCCATACTCCATCAAAACAAACAAAAGTTTAGGCTTCATATCCCTAAATTATCTGCCATTAATGTTGCTGGTCATAAGCCATGTTGGATGGGCTGCTGCAAGGCAACAATTAACAATATACATTTTTACTTAATGCTCAGTATTTGGCATGCAACTAGCTGTTCTTCTGGGTCTGGGTTCATGTATTTGTCTAGTAAAATATTTTACTAAGATATGTTTGGTGGTATACTTTTTTGATTGCAGGTTATGGCTTGTTACAAAAAAAAAAAATGTAAAGCCTTTGTATGCAATCATAAGGTAAACAACATATGCATGTTAAATAAAAGCAACACGTACAATGAAAGCAACGCACAGTGTGTTACTGAAATGCCACAAAACAGTTATTTACATACTTCACTGGTCTGTTCCATTCAGCGCATTTTACTATCCCATAATCCAACTGTTTTCTGTTATGAAAAAGCACTGATGCAAATTAGAACTGTATTAGGAAACTGTTAACTGTTGAGTGATCCCACCGTTTAACAAAATATGGAACAACAGTTTGAGTTATTGAAAATCAGTATCTACATTTTAGGCAGTAGATGCAGTTACAAGTAAAATAATATTTCCCTGCATATGTCTGATGTTATTAAATGCATTACAACTATAAGCAATATGGTCCGCAGAAATGTGTTTCTCTTTTCTTTTGTTCACATTTTAAGATAAAAAGACAAATTTAAAAAATGCTCAATATGCCTTTCAGGACACATTCACACTATAGCGGTGACCTGCATGTCTCTGCAGAAGAAAACCAGAAGTCACTGCTAGGGAACATAAAACAGAGACATGCTGCATTTTTCTGCAGCATGCCCCCGCAAGATGCCACTGCAGGGCAGCCAATTGCACTGGGACCTGGATGGAGTGTACACATACCAATAAAGTAAAAAAAGAAATGGATGTAAGCAGTGCAAAATACAATGCACACTGCCAGTGCTATCACAACATACTAGCTGGTCTGCTAAAATGCTTAATTTTAGCAGAAGGGTTAGTGGGAACAGGCCCTTATTCAATTGCGCTGGGACCTGGATGGAGTGTACACATACCAATAAAGTTTTTTAAAAAATGGATGTAAGCAGTGCAAAATACAATGCACACTGCCAGTGCTATCACAACATACCAGCTGGTCTGCTAAAATGCTTCATTTTAGCAGACGGGCTAGTGGGAACAGGCCCTTATTCTAATAACTAGTATTCTGCACTACATCCAGTAATAGCTGGTCTCTTCAGCGGCTTGGGTGAAATGCAGAGGGAGGGCAGTTGATATCACGAACTCCAGATTGTCCACTCATAGAATAGATTGTATCCGCTGAAAAAATATAAGGTGTTCTCTGAATGGCGGCAGTGCAAAGCAAGGGACTCCCTGTACTCAGTGTGCAGTGGGGAAGCCACTGAAGCTGCAGCCAGAAGAGACCAGCGCTGACTGTAGTGCAGATTACCACAGTGAATTTTTACAATCCCCAGCAGTCCTCTTGATTACAGATACTGTATGTATAGTTATATTGAGTCAAGTTGCACCAATGGAAGTATCTGCTTTAAAATTCATCAAGCTGCCACACTATTTAAGGTAATTTTAGCCACTTGCGGACTGGCGACTTTATATATATATATATTGCCAGTCCAAAGCCCTATTGTTCTTGGAGGACGTACCTTTACATCCTCCTTGAATCTCCTGTGTGCATGCATCATTAGACAGCGGAGAGCATCAGCTTCAGGCAAAGAGCTGATCAGACTGCCTTTGTGCCTTGTGATCTCTGTGATTTGTAATCTCAGCGATTACATGGCAATGTTTACTAGACATGTGCACTGCCAAAAAATTTGTTTAGTTTATTTGATTCGGAACGAAACGAATCGCACATGTCTAATGTTTACTTAATGAACAGTTTGTAAGAATTGTACCAAATAGACTGTTGCAGTATGTCAGGAATCAGGTTACCCTTTTCATTCTTCCAGACCCTAAAGAGAGAATCAGATTAGTGCTATGGGACAGCACAATACACAAACATAATGTACACTTCTTAAATCTTCAGAAGACAGCCCACATAATTAACTGAAATGCATTATACCATACACATAGGGCATGCTGCCTCTTAAGAAAAGAAAAATACATATAGACTATATTATGTAGTGTACCTGTTTTGTTAAAATATCCAAGTATCCATCTATGTGGTTTTTGAACAAATGACTACTGTGTGTTTCAGATATCGAGTAGTTGTGCCCTATCCACCTCAAAGTGAAGCAGAAATTGAGCTGAAAGAAGGAGACATTGTTTTTGTTCACAAGAAGCGGGAAGATGGCTGGTATAAAGGCACATTACAGAGAAATGGAAGGACAGGGCTTTTTCCTGGAAGCTTTGTAGAAAGTTTCTGAACCCTTCAAGAATTTTTTTTATATTGAAAAGCATCCAGTAACGTTCTGACTAATTATGTGGAAAATAGTGGATTATGATGTCCATGGCACAAAAGAATAAGCACAAGACATCAATATATAAGGAAGCCTAATAGCTATGAGTTGTAATTTTGACTTCCAAAGATACCCTTGGACCCTCAGCCTAAAACAAAAAGAAGATATTGAGTTTGATGTCCTTCATTGAAAAATGGTTGATTTGAACATTCAGTGATCTATTGGAGTAGTGCCTTCCACTTGGAACCACAATTTGAGAAGATGCACATTTTAATCTTGTTTGATCATTGTGATGTATAGAATATAAATGAAATTACTTTAAAATGAATGTTTTATTATATGCTAACTTATTTGTATACACTGCAGTGTTCTTATTACTTGCCTATGCAAGAGAGATAAGCAACTTAGATGGGCCATATTGATATTAATCACCCTCTTGATGTAGTGGAAAACATGAAGTGACCAACAACTGGTTTTATCCACAGTTACTCTATAGTAGGAATATATGCACAATAAAGGGCACAAGTTTGAAATGTTATTAGCGAACAAAAAAAAGATATTTTAACAATCTGTGGTTTGAATAAGATTGTTAAAATGTATGTTTACATTTTGCTTTAAAATGTTCCTTTTTGAACATTTATGGCTACTTTGAAGCTATTGTATTACATTTTAAATTTTCTTCTTAGTTTTCATTTTTTTGCTGAGAAATGTTTACACATATAGAAATGTCCATTTTCTTTACCCACAGTGCATCAGAAAAGACACACAAATTACCATATGGGAAAAAGCACAATAGTGGGGTTAAAGGACAAATGCACTTTTAGTACAGTTGTCCTTCAAGTAAACCCCCCTTCCTGCTAACTACAGCCCACTTGGTAAAATACTTAGCTTTCACCCTGCTCCTCTGATCTGTAAGATCCTGTCTTGGCAAGGAAACTGTCCTAGTTGGATCCTCTTCCTACAGAGTGCCATGGCCTCATTCATTCCTATAAATGAGCCGTACTCATGGTGGCCTCTAGCATCCACAGGAAGAGGACCTGGTGGAGACATATTTCTTTCAGTTGTGTGGCACTGGGCAGAACCGCACAATCTTGTAGGTGAGGGGATGAAGATATTTTACAGGCAGGCTGCAGTCTGAGGGTTTACCTAAAGGATGACTATACTAAAAGTACAGTTGTCCTTTAACAGATCAAGGTGTTATATAAATATCAAAACTTTAATACGGTACTTCAACCTGGCTAGGAAAATATTTAAAATATTAGTAACTGTTGGTAGTTTTTGATCTTTATTAAAATCTTCCATATTTCAGATTCATATATTTATCTAAATATTATTTGTTTACGAAGCTGGTTATCTGGAATAAGTTCTTTTATATACCCGAAAAAGAAAAAGTGTGCTAGTAAAAAGAACACTGCACGTCCCTATATGGAAAATATTTATGTACAGATTGTAAAGTTGTGGGGAGTATTGTCCTTGTCATTTGCCAGTATGGATTCTGAAGTGGTGTTACAAATATTGGATACCTGGCTATATAGGTCTACATTCATTCAATGCCAATATATAATAATGACCAGCAAAAAACGTAGGCTCCTAGGGAAATGTTATTGCAATAATTTTAAAAGGCCTGATCATTAGCAGAAAATAAAAGATTATTTTGGAGCAGTGAGATTCATTAAAGCTATCCTTATATAGGGAAATGTTTCAATGAAAATGACAAGCGGTAAGAGATCTGCCTGTGAATGGCTGGATTGTTACACTGTTGTTATTTCCCTTATTAATCCAACACTTGGCAAAGTAAACATTTCCCTTTCTGTAGAACAAAAGTTATAATTGCTGAATACTCTGATTTTCCAGCATATTTGATAATGTTTTGTGCAATAACAACCTCTTCCATGTCTCACAATTTCTTTTTAAACCCTTTGTAGTTGATTTATTAAAGGCACATTGGTTGTTCACATTGCAAGGAAATTTGCAGTTTGTAAGGGCATTTTCCCTTAGCTTGGTGAAAGAATACCTAATCATATGCAAGGAAAATAAAGAACATTATTTTTGCTTGCACATTGTTGGATGATAGAAGTCAGCAGAGCTTCACCTTGTTCACTAAAATAAAGGAGAATTCCCTTGCAAAGTGAAGAGCCTATTTTCCTTTAGTAGATTAACACCTATGTGTCCAGACAAGTGATGCTAGAATTGGTCAAAGGACTTGCAATGCAGGGCTGGCCTAAAAGCAGAAAATATGGGCCTTCAATTTGTACCTTCAATTTTGAGCCAAATGACACGTAAAAGTAGAGTCAAAGTAATGTAAAAGGGTAGGTGCACTGAAATATGACTTCCCAGATTTGGGTTCAGTCACCGTATTAGTTCTCAAATCCTGCAGGAATCCTAGATTCACCATTCTCTATAGCACAAGTGTTTACAAAGTGAAGAAGTCAAATTTACCAGCACTCAGTTGTTTTAGAAAGCACAAGAACTAAATTAAAACCTGCTGGTTATCGCATTAAAAGCACATATACTTTTATTCTTTTTTTTCTATCTGCTCTGCAGCTTACCTCAGTAAGCTTGGTACTCTGATTAGTTAAAGTCACTTTACTGAGGACTGGCATGTCCTAATAAAGGTAGTTAGTACCATTAATAGTAATAGTCTAGAGGAATTATCTTTCCAAAATTATTTACAAGTGGTTGAAATGAGACTGCTGCTTTTATTATGATTTTAGAAGCAGGTTTTACCTTTTATATATTTTGCAAACCACTATAACTGAGTGTTTGGGAATTAAAGCACTTTAAACCGGGCACAAGAGGTACGTAATTATTTAAACCACCAAATCAGTTTATACGGTTTAAATTTAGAATAATAACTGTTTAACAAATGTACTTTCAGCTCAGCCTCATTATTTGGGTACATGGTTAACTTGCACAGAAATGAGGGGTATTTTACTACTTTAAAAGGGCACTGTTTCTTGTGATGTGTTATTCTTTCAAGTCTAGGATATTAATAGTGAATGCCATAAAAGAATGAAATGTCACATTCAATGATTTCTCCATTTTATTTGTTTTAAGTTGTTTGCAGAGCTTTAATATGTCAAAGTAAATGTGGTGTGGAAGTGTCGTTCCCTTAGTGTCCCTTTTGAAGTTCACTGTTCACTTACAATGCATGGAAATAATTCTAGCAATCCATTTTCAAAGGATAGCCATAATGTTTTTAGACCATAAGTGTTACTTGTGGATTGGAGGTTTGCACTTAACATACAACAGTATTTAGACAGAAGCCCAATGCCATGTTGTTTGAACAGAACAACATTGTTATAACTGTGGTGCAATCAATATGGAAAACATTTTGAGAATTGAGTTTTCTTTTCAGCTAAAAATTATCCCCCTACAAATTAACCCTGGCAATATAATACATCTGTATATAATTAAATTATATGGCTATGATGTACCTAATCATGTAAATGCATTTTCATTTATTAATCTGTAGCAACTGACATTGTAAAGTTCTTGCCAAAGTCCTTTATCGTCTGAATGCATAATTTAGGGGCATGCAGTAACTGTTGCCCTGTCTTAAACAGGAAAGTGCCTTGGCATATGACCTTGACATTCTGCACATAAATAGACATGAGTAGATAACACATCATTCAATTCTGCACCCAAAAGCTACTGGATTGGAACGACATGCAGTATTTTTAAGGTATTGTACTACATTTTATAATGTGCCAAACCTGTAGCATTTAGAAGCACCTTCCTATCACACGAAACCCTCCTGTCCATTCCCTTTTTTGCAGTTGATGTACAAAGCTGTCTAGCCAAGACATTCATAAAGGGTTTGTGAACTGGAATATCTGACTGGAGGTAAGAACATCAGTCATATAACCTACTAATAGAAAAAGGGTCTGTTATTTTTCTTCCCCAACCATGGCTATAATGCAAGGCTGAGCATCAATCATATATGGTATAGTAAGATACACACTATAAGCGATTACTCCTATTTGAAGACCTCTGAGTGCCTACTTAACTTTTGCTAGATATATACACTGCCAGGGGTAGCCACCACACCCTATGCCCAGGTGCTCATCCACAAAAATATCCATACAAATCCAGTAGATATAGAGGCACTCATGGGTGTTGGAGTGGAAATAAGTTCAGCCTGGTTCACATATGGGTGGCCCGGGTCCACGCGGTTCCCAGTCAGACCAATTGATTTCTATGAGGTCATATCCGCGAGGCAAAAAAGCTCATGCACTTTTTTTGTGCGACGAGCGACCCACATTTTTTGCGACCACATTTTTGCGCGATTGCACCGTGGAAACGTGGCCTAAAAACACGCGGATTGCTAGCCACGATTGGGGTGCCATTAGAAATTAATGGTGAAGCAAGTGCGGTTTGCGTCTGTGCACGATTCCGCAATCACGCACAAAACCGCACAGATCGCCATGCGACCTCAGATCACTCAGATGTGAACCACGCCTCAAAGCATCAGCATTTCATTGTCAACATTTTGGTGGAGCTCAGTCCATCATCTTGACAAAGATGGACTGAACTCTGTCAAAATGTTGACAATAAAATGCTGATGCTTTGGGGGTGATTTACTAACCTAAACACACACACACACCAGGTGTGTGTGATTTTCACACAGCAAAACGTATTTATCAACCAAAAAGTCTCTAAAAGCATATTTCCACTAATGCCATATATGGAAAAATCATGCACATGATGCATATATAATGCTGCTTCACAGTTTAGACAAAAATGGTTAGCTCATGCATTTACATTCCTGCATTCATCAACGCAAGCAACATAACATAGAGCTAATTTACACCACATTACCTTGCAATTCATTGCAGGGCTTTGCACAACACACCTGCTGGGTGTGTACACACTACAAAGGTGTTTCGATTCCTCCCATAGATCATGCTGGGAGGGAACACACTACAGAGGTGTATACACGTTCGTGGTGTGTTTAAAAGGTTAGTAAATCAACCCCTTTGACTTATCTCTGCCTCAAGACTTGTGAGTGCCTCTATACCTACTTTGTATATGTTTATATAATAACATTTACTAAACCAAATATAAGCTCCCAAAAGGAAATAAAATTGCAATAAAAACAGTTTGCAATGAAGACAGTGAAGCTAAATATTACCTAAATAAAATACACTTGCCAAAGCAGAAAAATTCAAGTATGAAAACGTGCTGTTTGTTGCAGATGATAAATCATTTTACAATGTTCTCAGTATTGAACATCTAGTGCTTAATTGTAACTTAATGTATAACCATTGACATCTGTAGAACATTCAAGTTACAACATTTTAGTCAGCATTGTTATTTTAAGTACACAAGGTATGGTAATGGCACAACCAGGTGTTCATGTAAAAAGGAAGGCCTTGTGAACTCTTAGTTGCACTTCAGAATAAAGCCCCTTAAAAAGACTGCTGAATTTTCCTCATCTTGAACTTAAATATACTTAGAGACTTTGGACAGAGATGCACAGTGATCTCACTGCCATAGGCTGCACATAGCCAGGTAATGTCTGCAGTTGCCACTTTT